GACACTTTCTGATTCACCTAAATCTTTAAGTTTGAAATGGCCAGCTAATACATTTTTCAAATATTCTGTTTCCTTACAATTCTTTGAGAAAATAAAAAAATCAATCACGAGAAGTGTAACAATAGTCCTTAAATTATTTCTAATTTTTGTGTACATACATGATTCTTTCTTAGATCTCCTGTAACCAATATGCAACAAACATTCATCCACTTTCCTGTACCATGCTCTCGAAGATTGTGTAAGCCCGTAGATTGAGTTTTTTTATTTAAGTACTTGACCATCATGGGTCTGCTCGGAAAAACCTTCAGGCAACTTCATAAAAATAGTTTCATCAAGAGCACCATTCAGGAAAGCTGTAGTTTCATCAAAATGAATAGTGTCAAATCCTAACTGAACTGACAATGCAAATAGTAACCTCAATGTAGTATGCCTTACAACAGGAGAAAATGTTTCTGTATTGTCTATACCTTCAATTTGTGAAAAACCTTTAGCAACTAAACGTGCACGGAACCGAACTTTGTTATCACTATCATATTTTTTACGAAGCACCCACTTACACTGTACAACCCTACCATCTTGTGGACTATCACATAGTTCCCACGCATCATTTTCTTTGAAACACTGTAGTTCTTCTTGCATGGCCAACATCCACTGTTTCTTTTCTGGTCCTTTTAAAGCATCATGCAGTGTCAAACCTGCCCCATCATCATAGGTTTCAGCGCTTGTACAAAGATTCGACATACCATATCTCTCTGGTGATTTCCGTGTTCGTCTGGGTCTGTCCATGAAATCTTCATTTTCACACTGAAGTGTACTCTCCGAGTCTTCATAATCACTTGGAACATATGTTTTATCATTGTCATCATCATAGGAATAATCATTTTCACTTTTGGAGTTATCTTCAAGACTAGATGTTGATTCAAAACTTGATACCTTTTGATTTTGAAATATAAAACATTTTAAATAATTTGCAAGAGGGCAAAGCTTATTTTCCATTCGAGTGAGGGCGCTTGCTATAGAATCGTAATCATCAATAGCCTATTAATATTCTTACAGATGGGGCACAGGCCTCCCATGTAGATATTATAATAAAGATATTGGGCCATGATCCACCACGTAGCCCAGTGCGACTTGATGGTACCGACTGCAGATGTAGCCTAAACCACGGACTTAACGTGTAATTTGAGGCATGGAGAGCTCAAGTTAATAAATTTGAAGAAATTTTTGTAGTTAGTGCGTCCATCTGATAGCGGGTTCGAATCCAGTCTGAAACCTGAAGGTCTACTCTCTTTCTCCGAAACAAACTGTCGATAACGAAGTTCAAACGAAATTAAATTTCGTCAATTTAAGGTTATACTTAATTTGAACGATAAACTATCAAATCGAAGCCTTCTTTGAGTAGGCTTAGAAAATCTAAACCTCAATCTATATTCCCACGACGAATATTATTATAATTAAAAACGAACCAGAAACATAGTAAGAAAAGTGCGAAGTTTCGATCGAAATTTCGTTTTTCGTTGAATTAAAGTAGGTCTCCTGGAACGACTAGATATTTTTCTAGTAAAATTGATTGTATACTGAAACTTCTAGAAAGCTGCACTGATTTTAACCCAAAGTGAGAGTCCATAACGAGTAACATGATACAATCACTATCACATCTCCATAGACGATCATTGACACTCTATCTTAGTCAGACCTAAAAGTCCACTCTATTTTCCTGAGTTGTACTAAAAACACAAATTTTAAGCTATGGCAATGAAAGCAAATCATAACTGTCCCACCTTACAAACACGAGCCACTCTATTGTATCCGAACCTTAATCACTGGGTTCGTAAATGAGTTGAAATAAACATTATTTTGTGTCTTTTCTAGAAGCGCCATTGTCTCCTATTCTTTAGGCGCTAGAGTACAAACGATTTCAAAGCTGCGCAAAAAGGGCTTAAATTATATATGTCCTATAATACCTGCTCTCATACATAGCATCGTATTGTATTCGTGACGGATTAGAATTATTGAGCGCAATATCAAAGATAGAGAGTAACAAACGGTTAAATTACAAAAATAGATTTGTAAATATTAAAAAAACATTATAAAACATTATTGACTAATTTTGAACATTGTTGAATACGAAGAGTTATTCTAAAACAATAATGATAGATACTAAATTAAGAGAGCCCAAGCGGGGATTTTGGGATTTACTCAAGCGTGGCAGAATAACATAAGGGTTTAGAGTTAAAAATAACAAAAGGGATATTTGCATTCGTAATTGATTGTTTTTTCAATGTAGTAATAATATTTAAGATTGTGAGTTAGTTATTCAATCTTCGTACATCGAATTACCTGTAAAATGTCATACATAACCTTGCACCTTGTGAAGTATGCCCTTCTCCTGAATGACTCAGGTAATAACGTAATATTTGCTCCTATTTAAAAGACTGTATTGTTATTTTCTTTTTATTATCCTAAACGTTTGACCCTATAATATAAAGGGCTCAATTATGGTGGGATTACTTCAAAATGTCTGACGATTTGCCTGCGTATCGAGCCTGCCGCGATGGTACAGTGTACGGTATCTCAAGCGTCTATTATATGCTATTGCGGCGGTGGCGGCCGCTTGCAGTCAGGTGGGCCATAAAAGCTTGTCATATTTTAAACTCCGCATCCAATGTGCTACGCCGGCAACGTCACAAAATCGGATTCGTGACGGAGAGGGTTTTAAAGAGGAAGCCCACTCGCCGCAATCTGTGTGGTGCCGCCCCGACCGGACCGAACCATCTGCTGCGTCCTGCAATGCCGATGACGCCGCTGTACGTGTCCCGACTGGATTACTCTACGAAGGAAGAGAAGATCGTAGATTAACTGCGTATTAAGACCTAATTCTCCCTGAGAGTCACACGATTGGAGTCCCGTCACAAACTCAATTTTAATTCCTCTGTGGTGCAGGTGCCGACCGAACACCTGGCGACTTTCATGAAGGAAGATCTTTGGCCGAAAGATGTTGCGGCGGTTCCAAGGCCGGTTACCGGATACCACTCCATGTCACACGTCGCCGTCTAAGATAATTAAGTTTCTATTAACATAGTTATTGATTTTATTTACTAACATTAAATTTACCTTAGCTCTATATGTTAGCCTATAAGATATTTATCTATGGGCCTACGTTGCCTGACAAATAAATAAAATAAAAAAATATTATTCACACAATCAAATCTTTGACTATTGACGTTGTGATTTGTCTTTGTTCATTATATTACAAATTAATATCTTTTGAATATATGAACAAAAGTCGTTATAACTTATTCATTGATAATTACGTACAATCCAAAGACCAAAGCGTCTTTGGTTTGTTATTTACTTCCCAGTTAAGAATGGACGTTATCTCTTAAATTACTTGATATTAAATATACAATTGTCATTTTATTTGTAATATTAACGTGCCATTTAAACCCATTCCTATATCAGAAAGAAATCCTAAGGCTCTTTCTGATAAAACCTTTTATTCCGCACGAGAAATTTTTCATCAAACAACACATTTAGTCCTAAGCTTTGCTTAAGCTGTTTATCGAACATTAGAAGGAAACCCCTTCTCTACGAAACAGAATACGTAAGCACGCGAGTTTGTTTTCGGAACAAGTAGAGATGTCAACTTCTGCGTTAGTTCCGTAATTTTGCTCAAAGCTTTAAGTAGTCTTACTCCGAAAGTTACATTAGTTTTTACTCACTACTTTAGGGTAGCCTTGGCTGTGTAGATTCATAATGGTTCCGTGCAATCGACCTTCTTATATTGAAGGTTTTGAACGGCTTAAAAATAGTTATACAGATTGCATTGGCAAAATAAAAAAAGAAGCACGTATTAATGAAAACTCTTGTAGCCACTACAACTTACTAAGTAGTTCGTAGTTTACCCTCCAACTGACAGCAAAGGCAGTGAACCAAATTTTAATTTTATTATACTAGCCCCGCCAGACTCTCATACAACTTAGCTACTTTGAAGCTGGAATATTTATTAATACCTTTTTACAGCTTACAGCTGCAAGCTACAACAAGCTTTTACAATATTTCTTGTTCGAGGTACTTGTACAAGGCTTTCTTTTCTATGTAGGTACTGTGTTATTCTTTTGAAGTGTTGAACTTCCTCTCATCAGACAAAACTTATTAGAAATTTCATTATTAATTTAGTGAAAGAGCAATCAATAACATTGAAATATTTTGTTGTTTATGATTATCACAAAAATGAAATCTGTCTCTGTTTTATTATAATTCCTCTTGAGAAAACTTCTTCATGCATTAGGTATTCTTTTTGTGCTGTTTACTGAAAAATAAGGGATATTAACAAGATGGAGATGGATAAGAAATTAATGATCTTGTTCTAAGTACCAGACTGGGTTCGTCGAACCAGCAACTTCGCTATTCAAAAACTAATTTTCTATGTTCCACTGCACATAGCTTAGAACAACAAAAAAAAATAAGTATAATTTTTGATAGATAATAAATCTACACTTGTATATGCCGGAATAAAATACAATCAATCTGAGACACAGTATTTTGTAATATATAATTTTAATGTAAATCGAGACATCGATCGCAAAGATCTAACGACAAACCGCATGCTTTAGAAACAAAAAAGGTAAACTTTAAATTGAAACTCGATCGAACGGAATCTAATTGGAAGATACTTAAATTAATTGACTTTGAAGCAGTTTCTCTTTTTGTTGGCTTGTGGTCTCACAATCTTTACTTCAGATTAAGCAGAACTGAATATAAAGGTTACGGGGTCATTTAAAAAGTTTCATTCACAAAAATTGAGAATATAAAAACTGAACATTATTAAGTATATTAAAATACTCAGAATAATAATACAAATTAATACCTGTAATAAAAGTCTAATTTACTTTTGACAATATTGAAAATGCAGACATTTGGCTCGTTTCTATCTTGTTGTAATAGCCATAGTCAATATTCCATTTAACAGATGTTTGAATACTATTGTTTTTTTTCAGGTGTACAATGACAACGGCGCTTCAAAGAAACATTTAGTAAAACCTACACAAAAAGTGATAGTAAACGTATTCCGGATTGTGAGTAAACTATGTGGTAGTCAAGTTCAGTGATATGCGTCAAAAAGCAAAACGCACGAAAGCTTCAGTGGGAACTTAAACTGTTGATGCGAAGGCGGGACGCGAACGCGCACTGTGTAGATGTTAAACAATGGGAATCGTTTAGTGGTATAAATGTGAAATGGACACGTGATGTAAAGCTGAGTGTACACGAATAGTGACAGTGGCATGAGGACGCTGGAGGCGTGACAGCCTCGGGTAAGAGAGGCGGATGCGACGAGGCAGCGTGTACAGCGTGAGCGAGGGCGTGGAGAGGTGCGCCTGTGCAAGGTAACATCATCATCACAGTCGTCAGAGTCTATATTTTGTTATGTTTTTATAGACTCTTGATATAAACTCCGTGTACACGAATAGTGACAGTAGCATGAGGACATTGGATGCGTGACAGCCTCGAGTAAGGGAGCCGGATGCGATGAGGCAGCGTGTACAGCGTGCGCGAGGGCATGGAGAGGTGCGCCTGTGCAAGGTAACATCATCATAACAGCATTTTGTTATCGCTAAATTGACTCGTGATGTAAGCTCAGTCTACACGAATAAAAAACTGAAGACATAATAGTTGACATACCTAATGAGGTACAAATAAGTAATGCGTTTATATTTTAGTTTATCTCTTCTTGTAAAGAAATAATAAATTTCCTATAGGCTTTTATTTCGGTCCGATTCACACATCCTATAATCCATGAGGTGTGTTAAGAGACGGAGTTAATTATAACGGATAAAAGATGCGGCTCACACAAAGCTTTACGGGCCTCCCTATAAACAACAGTTTTCCTGGAGATTTAATATATACTTTTTGTTTGTTTACTTTTGCATCAGAGGTCTCAGATAAGTAATAATTCATCAAAAACAACATTATCATTTTCCTGCTCAAGATTTTCCGAGTATACTTCTGTTTGGTCAGATTTATGCTTCCACTCGGAAGTATGCGGAAGTATCCGGCAACGAATATCTCTTAACAAGTAATAATGGAATGAACCCTCTTTATCTTTTTAATTTATTAACACTTCCTGCTAGGCCGTTCAGTACAATCCGCCAAGTGATTCTTGGAAAGCTCTAATTATCCGGTTCCTAATGTGTCGTATAATTACCATTTGGCTCCACTCAGCTTGTCCCTGCATAGCGATTAGGAATTCATTAAAGCAAGGGAGGTTTTTCAACGAGCGTCGCAGAACCCTCATACGAGTCAGCGCCAACAAATTGCATCGCTGGGAATATCGAGACGTTGCGATGAAAGGAACCCTCTATTTATAAAAGAAAATGACGTGGAAAAGCGTGGACTTAAGAAAAATATTTATATACCTATATTTAAAGTTAAATATATAATTACGTGTGTATGTGCGGAGTGGTGTCAGATAACCGGCCCCGGAACCACTGGAACACGAAATCTTTCGGCCAAAGCTCTTCCTCAGTGTTGCCAGGTCTGATTTAAAAAAATCGGGAGGAGTTATAAAAAAAAATGTAGATGTAGGAACCGAGCTACAAGAAAAAACAATAGGTGCAGAGGCTTACTTTTTCCGATTTGAAACCCCACCCTCCCCCACCTAGAATTGGTAAATCAAATCAAAAACGAATGTGTTTCTGTGACTTCTGCTGCATCTCAAAGCGCGTCTTTTTTAGACAATAACTTATTGAAATCTAAAGAAAATATAACTAGAAAAAATTCAGGCAGCAGACGGGACTCGAACCCTTCGCTCTCCGAGCAAATGCACTGACCAATTATATACATCAAGTATAGATATAAAAATCAAGCAGTTACATGCTTAAAAAAATATATACAATAATTTATTTATTTTATTATAATTAAGGTAACCTACATTCTTAATGGCGGAAAACACAACTCAACATGCAATTTAAAAAAGAAAGTCGTATTCTAAGAAAAACAGTAGATTCATGTAGAAAAACAGAAGAACAGGAGAAATTTCAGAAAAACAGGAGATCTCCTGTAAAGTCGGGAGACCCGGCAACAGTGTTTTCCTTCACAAAAGTCGCCAGTATGTATTAAACGATTCTGTTAATAATATCCATATGAGTAGAGAGGTAATGGACCTACCACGAACCGAAGATTATTAATAACTTACTAATGCAGGAGACACAAAAGTATGGAACATTTACTTTTATTGTAAACACATAAAATATAGAGAATTTCCAAAGAATTATCCTTGATCCTGAATTCGCCATCTACAGAAACATATTTTTCAATTGAGTTCGAAATAATTACTGCAATAATAATTTATTTTAAAAATTGTTAATAAATTAAAGGTAACATAAATTATATGTAATCATCGACTAGTGGGTACCTTCTGACATTATAAAAGTTTATAAACATATAATATCAATTTGGAAATGACATTCATTGCCACATAACTCATATTTGCCATAATTAAGCCGAATAAATTTAAGAATAATTAAAACAAAAAATATACTATAACAATGAACCTAAAACTAAAAACCTTAAAAAATAAAATATAATAACTAAAATACATTATTAAAAGGAGTCCCTTTAGGCAAGGTTCCGAAGATACTGGCAGCGTTCCCCCTTTGGATAGCTAGACTTATTCTTTGTCCGAGGTAGCTGCCAGCTCTTCGGTCTCCTGTGATGTCGACTAATCTTTTCGCCATTTCTTTAAAAAGCCTTATAGCACTAGGACCCCACGGACCAAGGGTCTCGACACCGAATGGGACAAAATCATATTCGGAGCCTAGACCCCTGTATTTGCCTGCCTTAACTTTTTCAGCCGCTTCACAAGCCGCACCAGCTCTGTTGTTGGTTCCATGTAGATGGAAAGGTGCCAGCGTGTCTGAACAGGTTGCATCCCATACTAGCACCCGACCCATCTTCCATGGAATCAAACTCATACCGTCCGGTCTCTTGCCATCGTCTCTTGCAATACCAGTTGGCTCAAGTAGACTTGGCACGTTGACGGTGGCAAGGGACCGGCGTATGATATCGTTAAAAAACTAAATAAATTAAAATTACTGCATATATTGGTTGTTTGTTGATTTGTTGCTATGAACTTCTGTCGCCGCTCCGTCACGTCCACCGCTCTGAAGCGATTCAAATACACACATCAAAAGTGTCTAGGGATCAAGCATTTTTATGCGGATTTCTTGAGATTGAGATGTGGCTTTGTAATAAATTTATGATTTTATAAATTTATATGGATCCTTTTTGGTGCATTTCATAATTTGAATCAGGAACTGTGAATCAAATTCGAGTAAAAGATGAAAATCAGCTGTCAATATTTTCCCTATAAAAACATACAACGCATTGAAGACATTATTAGTGCTACTGTTTCCCTACTACTGATTAAAACCAACGTTATTATGGAGCGGCGACGTCATTTAAGCAGGGAAGAAATGCTCAGAGCCGTGGGAATGATAGAAGCTGGTTCCCGGCAACGTACTGTGGCTTTAGCTCTGAATACAAGTCAGAGTGTTATCAGTCGACTTTGGACACGATACCGAAGCACTGGTACCGTGGCTGAGCGCCATGGAGGACGGTATCGCTGCACCACACGGAGACAAGACCGATACATTCAAATCTTAACTCGAAGAGCTCCAACAATAACCGCCATGATGTTAGCCGTGAGGCTTCATCACTCTTCAGGGAACTTAATTAGCGACCAAACAGTCAGAAACCGCTTGCATGAAGTGAACCTTCATTCCCGAAGACCGCTACGGGTACCACCTATAGCAATGCACAATCGTAGGATTCGATATCAATGGGCTCTTGAACACAGAAATTGGGCAGAAGAACAATGGCGTTTCGTGTGCTTTTCTGATGAGTCTCGTTTTGGTATGAGACCGGATACAAGACGTATACGACACTGGAGAACCCCTGGACGCCAACAGCGATTAAAATCCTGCCAGGAAGTCCATCCTTATAGTGGTGGAACCATCATGGTATGGGCGGGTATTTGGATCGGCGGAAGAAATGAGTTGATTTGGATCAGAGGCAACCTCAACGCTCAAATTTATGCTGAGACGATTGTATCAGACGTCATCGTTCCTCTACAAGTGCAAATCGGTCCCTTATTTCAGTTAATGCATGATAATGCACGACCGCACACCGCAAGAGTTGTAAGACAGACTCTCGCCGCAGCTAACATCAATGTCCTGCCCTGGCCTGCTCAGTCGCCAGACTTGAACCCGATTGAGCATGCATGGGATATGCTACAGAGAAGAGCTCTGCCGAATATGGAGGGTATCCAGTCGCAAGAAGACCTTTTTTTGTTGTTGCAACGAACATGGGCGGCCATTCCACAGCGTGATTTGGATGAACTCATTTTGAGTATGCCAAACCGATGTTCTTGTGTTGTTAGTGTTCGCGGTAGAAATACGGATTATTAATTGTTTAAGTTACCCAATAAAATTTTAGAGAAAACTGTTATTTCAGTCTTTTTTTCGAACTTTTGTGTTAGTGGTTCAAATGTCAAAAATCCCTTTATTAGGAAAATGGCAAATTTCTTTATTAATGCAAAGGTGACTTGGTTTATCGTTACTGTGACAAACGAAAACACTTTATTTGATGAATCCTTAAAGAAAATTTTAATTAATATCAATCAGGAGAAAAGTTATTGCAAAAATATATGTTGATCCCTAGACACTTTTGATGTGTGTATTTAAATTTTCCACAGGTTTTCTGCACTGTTTGCTCAAAAATGAATTTCATTAAAAAATATTTCATGTAGACCATTCAAAAGTAATAGAGTTAGTATAAAAAGATACCTTTATTTGAATTACGTATGCATTCGCTGTTATTATTTTAATAAATTCTACCGTAACACCGTAAATATAAGCTGAGTTTAGTAGAAAAGCACCGTAATTTTGATGGTTGGTACAACCACAAAGCCCGAATACACAAGGAAATTGAGAACGTTTGTTGATTGAAGGGATTATGGAAATGGATGATACCCTATTCACAATGTCGTCGTACCAATGTCAATATTCTCCTTTACGTCTGATTTGAAAGCCCGAGTCATGGTTTTATTGTGTTTTATTTTAGACGCATAGCAATGAAATATATGCTATCGTCAGCCTATATATGACCCACTTTAACAGTTCAAAAGTATAAGTTTACAAATTCCAGTGTTATTTCGATGGGAATATGCATGTTTTTTTTTTATATTTTATTATTTAATTTAGTAGTTAACATGCTCTTAATAAAGGTAAATAGTATCAAGAATTAGAAAAAATGATTCCGTTAGTGTCTAGAACAAATTGTAAAAATAGCCACCTTGCACGAGCATTTTAAACGCTCGCTATTTTGAAACGCCTGGTTTAACGTCATAGTTTATATCAACAAAATTATATTTCCCATAAGTGTCAGTGCCGTTCTGATGTAGCAGCACCATAATAAGGTAGTAATATTTCACTGTGATATTCTATGTGGTGAAGGTTCTTTCCCCAGGTGGTGGGCCATTCTACTTTTTAATGCCTAAAAGTTTGTCTCCTTTTAACTACACTCTCTCCTAAACACAAATCTTCAAAGAAAGATATAACCTGTGATAAAAATACTACTATGTTACCAATTGTACAACTGCGTTATTTTGTCCCCTTGACCAGGTTAACATATTGTATAATAGCTGAGCTATTTTTACATAAACAATTTTATACTCGATAGATTTTTTTTTTAAATAACAGAAATTACGCATTTCTATAAATACCTTTTATAACTGTATTTGGCTATTCTATTTAAATATTATTTTTCTTAGGTTTACTTTCGGTAACGCAGGGACTGCTGTTATTAAAAAAAAGTACAATTATTTAATTATTTTTATTATTAGAATTAAGAAGGTAATAGTTTACATTATACCAGAGAATAATTACAAGAGTTGATCTAATTGTTATTTTTATTTAAATAAAATAAATATGTTTAAATTCAGTAACGCAGTGGTTATAATTCCTAATTTTTACATCAAAACTTAAATTAACAAAAATTAACAGTAAAACTTCGCTGCTACCATTAGCACACTAATGTGTTATTATAGGTATTCCTTACGTCCAAATTTCTCACATCATTATTTTATATTTTTCAATCAAAATTTATTCCATATAGGCATCGAAATGTAGAATGGCCCGGACACTTATAGAGTAATTTCAGAGCTACTTTTAGTGTAATTTCAGGGCGACAAACCACACGCTACTAAAGTCGATTTATTTTGAGCGAACAAGTCAACTTCGCGCTTATGGACCGCACTTTCTGTCATTGTAAGAGACGGTTATTTACAGCTTATTTGATTGTTTATAGTTAGTGCAAGGGCTTTGTACTGGTCTATTAAGTGCTTTTGGGTCTGCAATACCTCAGAATCTTTCGTTTTCACAATCATATCTTGGAAAAAGCGATAAATTGTTATTATAGATTTAAAGAGTTGTTAATTTAATTAATCGATTTAAAGTTAATTTTTTTTTTCGGTGTTGACTTGCTCTGTGGAAAATAATACTAACAAAACTTAATAATATAATAGGCGAATGCATGTTTGATTAAACTAAAAAAAACATGTGCTCGCTATTGTTTTTCCATTCCACTTAGGGTACATATAACCTTTTTCTTAATAAAATTAATCTCATTAATATGCGACAGAATAAATATACGCTCTTAATATCAGTAAAGGAAAAAAAGGAACTCAAAGGCAACTATGAAAAACTATTTAAAATTTGTAAAATACTACCAATAGAGGCAAAAGTAAAGGTCGCAATTTTAACTGAACAATATCATAAATATGAGTTTAAAAAAGAAAGAGAATATACATACGCTACCCGTCAATCTAAGAAGCCGCTACTTGTTGTTCCGAGATATAAAAACTATTATGGTAAGCGAGTGAGGAGCTGGTCCACGCCTACTTTGCTCAATGAACTGCCATATGATCTTCTTAAAAATATATTATCCAAAAATCACTTAAAGAGTACACTGCGCAAGCATTACCTATCGTTGTGTCCATAAAGAGAGGGAAAACCTTAAGTGGTAGGTTAGTTAAAGCTGGGTTGTTTATCAAACGAGTATTTATAATGTTAAATTACAAAAATCAAAAACGGTATACATAACTAGATATTTGTGTGTTAATAGATTACTGATAAAATCTGCAAGTTTTGGTGTAAGTCATCATTCATATCATAGTATGCCTGTACTAGTTATGTACCTAACTTATGTATAATTATGTGTGCGCGTGGGTTTTTAAATGTTTTTAAGAGGTAAACTATTTAAAAAAGTTTAAAAGAATATTTTGGATTGTTATTGTTTTAAAAAAAAGGGAAAGTATCTTACTGTGTGTGCGCGCGTGTGTATGTAAGTTATGTGTGCCTGTGTGTATATGCATGTGTTTTTGTTTTTTATTTCTTTGTTGAACTAGATAGGTTTTTATACATATATTATAACGAGAGCTGCTGCCGACAAACTGTTACACAGTTTGGCAGATGTATACATAGTGTTTACATGTGTAATAATGAGGAAAATAAATTAAAAAAAAAATGAGATTACTTTTACTAAGTCAAGGCGATCACTTCATCAGGTTTGTCTTATATTGAATCACAAATCATATTTGTATGATGTTTTTTCCAAGCATATTAAAACTGAAAACTCCGTATCCACACAAGTTGCGTTCCATACAAGAACGCGACCCTGCTTCCAAGTAATGAGCGTCATCCCGTCAGGCTTCTTGCCATCGTCACGAAATATACCGCTAGGCTCAAGGACCGTTGGCACGTTCACTGCGACAAGACCACTGCGGGTGACGTCGTTGATGCAGGCGTTGCGGGAGACACGGTCAGCGCTCATTTGGCATGAGAAACCATGGTGATGGGTCGATGAGTTGGGACTCACAGACTCAGTACGGCTCGGTTGCGGTACTCGCTGCAACGACAATGATGGCGATGATTCGTCTTGACACCAAGTCGAAGCAATATTGCCGCAGACAGAGTGCTCTTTTCAAGCAAAGTCCCGATATTGGCTGAAGGTAAAGCTTGCAGCCAGTAACCTGACTCTACCTGAAAAACCGCTAGAGGGCGAGCACGCTCAGTGGCGTTTTCAGAATAAGCTAAAATCACACTGAAAACACAAACAGCGCGGCTCGTACCACTGTCTCTGAGAAGATAGAGAGGTTGGTGGATCTACTATTCGGCATGCCCTAGACCAAGCGCTTCTGGCCTCTGCAAGGTGAGCCAACTCCACAATGCCCATACTGTACCGTATGCAGAAGATAGCAAAGCGGACCTCCGAAACGAACAGGGAGACCTGCTTCCAAGCGTTATCGGAAAATGAACAATTTAATTTTTTGGAGAATGTATCTCTGAGTAAATTGTCAATAATTGACAGTTGCATTAGTCTAGTTAAATAAGTTCCGTTGAAATTAAAATAAATATATTTTTTCGTGAAAGCTCTCGGAAAGAGCTTAACTCGTGCAAGTTTACTTCGCGTTTGTCCCAAGCAGTGCACACATTTACTTCAAGTATGAGAATAAATATTTTCATCAAGTTTTATCTAGTGTTTTGTTTTAATTCGATATCAAGAAATAGCAATTCAATGTACTGAGTTGACAAGAGCTCGCACAGTACTGAATAAATATTTTTTCTTTTTTACAGTGCAATTTATGCAACTTTCGCGATGGCCAGTCATTAAATAGGAAACCATTTTATAACTTAAGTTATATGTTCTGTACGTGTGCTTATTAATTAAATGGCGTTTAATAAGTGTTGGAAGACTGTCTGACACTCTCTGGCCCCCTTGCATTAAAATTCCTAAATGAAATTATAAACAAATTATATTTCAGCATCAATTTCCTCTATTTTGAATTCAAATTTAATACTAATGAACTCATTCGCTTTATTAAAAATTTTGGCTTAAGTGACGCCTAAAGTTGTTTTACGAGAGTACAGTACAAATATAAGGGCGTTTGAGTCATGTAAATTCATTTTGATGAAGACAAGCTACGTGTTTCTAATTAATACGCACACAGTACCACAATTCTCCAAGGAGCTTCGCAGTGCAACGTGGACAGAGTTTACACGTTTTTAAATCTCTTTTAGGATAATTATTACCTAATCAAAAAGAATAGCTGTCATCCGGGTACAAAAACTAAAATGAATGACAAAACTCTTTCAATGTGTCGTGTCGATATAATACGATCAATACAACACGTAAATCAATTCCGCGTACGCCATGGTCTGTAGCTGAAAGGAACAGCACCCACCAATCTACATTGTACCTTTGTGCTAGTTTGCGGCCCGTGCTCCATATTATTTTATTCATTGGATATTTATAGGCTGAAAATGTAGGTAAGTTGATAAAATACTCATTCCCAAGCATAAATAGGCTGGTGGTGTAAAATATGATAAAATACTCCGGTTAAAAGTTAAAAGCACTTTAGCGGCGTGGCGACCTGGGACTTTATCTGTATAAATAAGAATATAAGAGTTGTACTATGTACTATTTCGTCCGCTATTTCACAGCCCCTTTCAGTTGCATTTTTGCAACGAAATACCAAAAAATACATTTAAACACATCGCTTACACATGAAAGCGTTTAAGACGGACAGACAGGCAGACTTTTTATGTTTAAAGGGTGGCAAACAAGCGTATGGTCCACCTGATGGTAAGCGGCCACCATAGCTTGTAGACGCTTGCGATACCAATAATATCACTGAAGCCCAGAAACCTTACTCATCGACTGAACCACAACTCCACCAATAAGTAGTGTTAATTTACTGCAATCTTATGTAAGGTGGAGGTTACTTCCCCAGACATGCTCTCCATTTTGAGCGAAGGAGGAGGCAAATAATTATCACATTATAAAACAGTTTGAACAATAATGATGGCGACAGTTTGTACATTAGCATGAATATTGTTGGCAGGTAGCGCGGGCGCGGGTGCGGGGGGTGCGGGTGGCATGGCCGGCTGATGGAGCCGGGCTGGTGGTCGCCCTCGCCGTCGGCGTCGCCGCCGCCGCCGCCCCGCGCCCCGCCGCCGCGCTGCCGCTGCCGGCCCCTGTTCTCCACCAGCTACAACTGCCTGCCGCACTATGGTGAGATCACCGTCTTCTTTTGTTTATGGCGGTCAGTGGTCGCCCTCGACGTTTGCGTCGTCGCCGCCGCCGCTCGCGCCCTACCGCCACGTTGCCGTTGCCGGCACCTGTTCTCCACCACCAGCTACAACTGCCTGCTGCACTATAGTGAGATTACCTTCTTGTTATAAACCAGGCGCTAAAGGTAGTTGAGCATGATTATCCTTCCTACATTATGTCTAAAAAAGGCATTAGACCTTTGCTAATCTCGAAAAAAGCTTGAGGCTTGAGACCCGACAAGTAATACAAAGTAGCGTAACGTGGACATGTGTGACACCTCACGGTCTCTTTTCAAGTCCAGCTCTGTGACTCGGCAAAGTGAACAGGTTTCTACCCACTAAAAACCAAACAATACTCCTACATCTGTGAGATGGCTTCAGTCTTACCATGCCAGCTTCTCGAAGAAGCTCAGTGGACTACTGAGATGTCTATAGAGATCTCCAGTAGCATCTACGGGCTACCCAGGTGTGTCAACCGTTGTCTGGCCACACCTCTGCATTGTAGCTGGACGTGAGTACTCGTCCCGCCTCCTCCATGCAAGATCTGCACAGAGGATTGTCCGAGGCACCTATGTAAGAAAGATATTTATTAAAGTGTGTACCATGTCCTGTAAGGGGATACTCACGATTTGTTTCAAGGTATGTCTCGATAACTTACTTGCTAGCCGTGGGTCTACCGTAGGTATGGCTTCCATGGCATGTGTGCAGTCTGCAAGTCCAGCCCAATATTCGTTATGTTGGCGTAGGCATCGTTCCCTTATCCAACCTCGCAGATGTCGGTATGATTGTTTCCTGGTCATTGGCCAAATGCCACAGTGTTCGATCCTTTCCTAGTCAAGTAATCTGCCGCATCATCGATCATTTCACGCGAAACACCTTCTGAAGACTTAGGTCACGGGCACGTGTGGATCATTTTATTATAGTAACAATACACCACGGCCTACGTGAATATTATGCCAGTTTCACACAGGGTTCGTTCATCATCTTCAATCCTATTAATGTCCCCTGCTGGGGCACAGATCTTCCCCATAGTTGGAATATGGAGATTGGACCGTGACCCACCAAACAGGCCCAGGGCAAATCGGTGGGTGCTAACGAATGCAGATGCAACCGGGATCAACGGCTTAACGTGTCTTCTGAAGCACGGAGGAGCTCGAGATAATAAGTTTTTAGCTACCCATTCGTGAACCGACCATTGCGATAGTTGCTTACATCTTACGATCGCAGGCTGAACGCGCAAACCGTCTGTGCCATCGAGCTCCTTAGGTTACTGACTCCAATTAGTTAGTACTGGAGTCTGCGTCGAATTGACTCAAACTGTTTGTTTACATGGATTTATTATTAGTGACGTCGCTGTACTGTCTCCAAGTTGATTTACACTGTGCTGCTAGGTCATCACAGACTGGGCATTCAAAACTAGCGATTCGCCCTAATTTTCGCACTAAAGTACATCCTAGGTATTAATAAGATTGTAAAGTAGTATCCAGTTAATAGTAAAGATTTTATAGTTATGTTAACGTATCAGTATTAAAATAATTGAAAAACACAAAATACATTTATAATTTTCAATGTTTTGATTTAATCTAAACGTTGTACACAGATTTTTTCTAGGCAATGCCGATGCCGTTGCTGAAAAAAAACATCTTGTACGTACCATGGATCCTAATGATTCATGATACAAAATAAATAGATTCTGCTATTAGCATTAAAACTAACAATAATATGATTTTTTTTATAAAAAAGCAGTTACTCATATCCGACAGTCTTATAATATACAGCTAAATTTTATAACACCAAACAACTATTGAGTTTAGATTAAAGATTTTCAAAAGTGAAACTATTGTCGATTCTCGCATACCTTAAAATTCATATTCAAAAGTGTTACCAATAAACCAATACTTTATTTACTGCCTCAATAAATTGCTTGCTTCACTAGGTTTTTCAGTCAATCAGTCTGCCAGTCAGTCAATTTTCCATAAAGATGAAAATAAACCGATCCAGCCAAAAATAAACTTTGCTGTGACGGCGAACAAGCTTCGTCCGTAATTTATGCTTATTCGTACTAGCTCCCGACCTAATTTTTGGCAAACTAAGTTCCTACACAGTGTCGTTGCTAAATATGAAAATTCAACATTAATTACGCTAAAAGTGACGCAATAATAATATTCGCACGTTTATAGATCAGTTACTAAAGAACCACAGGAAAATAAACAACAACATTAGTTTTGTAGGCCATGTTAGTAAATAATGAAACTTAACTGAACCTTCTGTTAATACCAATATTTTTAAACATTAGCATTAATGTACATTACAGGAAAATGACATAATATTATGACAAAATATTAGGATTTGCTAATTTGTCTATTTTCTCGTGAATTCCAAATAATGAGGATGCTAATATAATGGAAAATTATAAGCTCGGTGAATATAATATTTTTTTCGTCTGGTAGAAGTAAGTACCAGTTAACTTAATAAAAATGGAATAATATAGGGATGAAATAATATAAGGAAAATTTTGTTCAAAACCAATACACAACAGAATTACAGCTTTTGAACCCCTCATAAAATTAAAAGCATTTTCAAAAGCGAAATGAAAATTGTATGATAAAAACACTGGATGTCTGTTCAGTTATTAGCTGACATAATATTTTCATTCAGTTATTATTATTATATTAAATGCAAAAAATTGCGGTAGGCGATTTAGTGCCAATCTGCAAACTGTTATTTACATTTGTTGCTCTTTCTATTATTCAGCATTCATTTATATTATCTACTAAAATATAAAATATCTTTTGATCCTTATATGTATTATATAATTTTTAATATGGTAAATATATAACTAAATTAGTATCTTTAGTGAACTATCGGACTTCGTCCGCGTTAACTTTAGAATTTTGAGAATCACCAAAGGAACCTAATGGTAAACATTAGGTTCCTCCTCCAAATAAAAAAGTATCCTATGGATACTTTATTAGAAAAACATCCATGCGGTCCAAGCAGCAGACGGGACTCAAACCCACATCTTCGCTAACCGGGTGAATGAACTGACCAATATGCTACCGCGGACCTGATAGCCGTGTCGAATTTCTTCTAGCCTTTCCTAAGCTGCAAGGCGGTGGCATCTCCTCGCATTGTAGGTAACCCTCAATGTCAAATACCTTTACAACTATTAAATGTTTGAAAGACGAAATAAAAATTATTGTTATTTCTTTTATTTTATTTAGCGGTAGCAGAATGGTCAATAGCGAAGGGGTTCGAGTCCCGTCTGCTGCCTGGTCAGCATGGACTTTTTTCTATTAGAGTTTTCTATAGATTTAAACATCTAGCAGTTATCTGCTTAAAAAAAATAAAAAGTATAAGTATACTATGTCTTAATCCAGGTAATAATCAATGTGCGTGCCTAATTTCATCCAAATCCCTTCAGCTGTTTTTGCGTGATTGAGTAACAAACATACAAACTTTCACATTTATAATATGAAGTTGTATTTTTTCAAGCAAAACTATTTCCAGTGCTGTCTTGATTTTTTTTTTGCAACTAACCTAGTAAATAAATGCTCCCTAACAAGAAAGTGAGCGATGGGCACTCACAAGGCAAGCAGTAACGCAACCCTTACATTAAAATCCTTGTTTATTTTCCCCGACTGGATTTATGCTGCAGCTAATGTTGAGTAGTCACGAATTAAGACTATGTTGGTAGTAGGTATGTGTACTTGTGTAAGGAGGAAGATTATCTTTCCGGTTCCATTAGCATAAAAATTGCGTACAATTCTCATGAATAACCCAGGATCGTTTTGTTTGCTCGCTCGAACGCTTCGTGATTTGCAAGGCGAGGAAAATATTTATAATATATATTTATACTTTGCCCTCGATTTTGTCCCCTTGAGACCATTTCGACTTAAACGACATAAACTGTCCGTCAAATTCATTCCAAACCATTCCCTAATTTTGTGCGTTACACCAACGAACTTTCAAACTAATTTTATTTAAATTAGGATATAGAGTTCTTTAGTAAAAATATATGGATTTACCTAGTTTCTGACTTCCCAAAGGTTTTTACAATTTCAAATCGATTTAAAATTAATATTATGGATATTAGGTTAAAAATATACAATAGATGAGCAAGAAACTTATCGAATCAGTATTTGGAAATACCGCTGCGTTTATTGAAGTTATACTTGCACATCACTGTAACACATTATTATTACAAAGAAATAAAATGTTGTGAATTTCACATGTGTCATTCTTATCAGCTAAAAGATTTCGTTAATGTGTAGGAAACAATATATTAATCGATTTGCAGAGCTTTTGGTAAATAATTTAGAGCTTATTAATATTAAATAATTAAGCTTAGGTTTGATACAACCTCGCCTTAATCTAATATCATCTATCGTCTCTCTGGTCAGGATGGAATGAAAAATAGTGCTCAAAGCAAGGGAAATAAAATTGTAATAAATATGAAACTAGATATGCACGATCACAGCAGCGAAAGAAGACAAAGAATTAGAAAAGACAGGAGACAAGAGCAAAAGGTTGACAGATAGTAAAAAACTCAGTATAAGGATGCCTTCAGATATTTTGAGATATTCTTCTGAGAAAGGAGTTCTCAAATATGTTTCTACATTTTACAATAAGCCGGGTAATGTACAGGAAAGAGAAAATAGGGCACTTTGTAATCGTAGTTCGGAGCAAGATGGTAAAGTTCACTTATTTTTAAAAATGGTTTCCTCATGGTTTTCTTTACAATCTTTACTTATTTGCTTCAGTCATTATTTTGAGTAACATATTAACTGAAAATAATTAAACAAATTTAAAAAAACTATAAGAGGACCAGATACTATCAACACGAGAAAGTTCGTGGTTGACAAGATCTAGATTTGACTTTCACATCGATTTCTGTATGAAAAAATTCACAAACTACGTTCTTTATTTAGGTGCTTAACATAAGAGAAAATGTTTGTAGAAAATCAACAATTCAGGTTAACGTGTGCCGGTAACATCCCGAATAATGGCTAATGCAACACTTGATACCCGGGTAGGTCCCGCCACGCAGCGGGATGGTATCCTATTGTTTTGCCCGCGATAAATTAGGAGAGTTTCATCCTGGGCACCTACCGCACTTAATTATTAACACCTGGTTAGCTCCTTTGTCTTGTTCACGCATTCCACATCAGCTGGAAGAAAAGATTTGACAGCTAAGTAACTAAGATGAAAATATCTCGTTATTGTCATAAGTCTAATTATATCCCTATTGATAAGACAGTGGTATGCCTTATAATGATAATCATAATTATAGGCAAGTACATTTACCATACTGATTAATCTGAAAAAAGCAATGGTGACATTCTAAGGAGAATGAGTTGATGCTGTCACTTTTTACTTTAACAATAGAATAAGGCCACAAGTAATTTAATGAATAATTAATTAACTTGCTATAACCAAGGACGGCTGCAAGGGCTTTAAATTAATTACAGATTCATAACCAGTTCAAATTAGTTTTGTGCGAATAATCAATAGATTGATATTATTTTTTTATATTTAATTCTATATTTATGGTTATTAATCACTCGTACAGTTGTCGGTGAATGCCTCTTGGAGGTTACCCGTAAAGCCGAGGTATTTCGGCCTTGATACTCTGTTGCATTCCAGTAGAACGTGAGAAGCTGTTTCTTGAGCTGTTGAACGTGAGACAGAGCCTTCATGCATGCATCGTGTGCATTGGGGGCTAACCGTGACACAAACTTGAATGTCTGTTAAAATTGCCGACGCCCAAGCACGAGTTTTTGACAGTTCCGTAACATATAACAAAATCAAAGTCTCTATAAATACTTAGGAGATAATATCGAACGTAAGAACAAACTAGGTTTTTTTAACAAAATTTGACGATAACGATACTTTACGGAGCTGTCAAAAACTCTTGCTTTTGGCCTCAGGTTGGCTATGTTTACAAGACTAAGGTTTACTTGGTGTAAAGAGTGCTTGGCCGGCCTGATAACTCCTGCGCTACAATATTTTGCTCTGTTTGCAGATGGCTGGCCCGACGGGGAAGAAGAGTCATCGGGCGGGGCTCTGCGAGAGCGCGAGCTACGCTCCCTGCATCGCACAGTTCCCGCGTTGCGGCGCAGGGAACTTGACACACGCGCAATCAAACATCACTTCTATCCGGAAGGAGGATGGGGGTAAGATGACACATTTATCAGCCACATGACTATTGACTGTCCGACAATTATTACACCAGGCCAAATATCGTCAATTTTATCATTTAGTTTAGTATGATTTATGTCTCTGAACATTAACTAATATGTAAAGTTAGTAAACGCACATGTAACTTTACATATATATTAGTACGACACCGCACGCATCTCTTATCTATTAGACAAGTCCGTCCGTCCGTCTGTCTGTCTGTGGTGCTGTTTCAGCGGCCAAACCGTAAGAGATAGATAAAGAGAATGTTTAGTTATAAGTTAAGAATAGTCTGATAAGACTACAAACCGGATTTGAGTAACGTAGCACTTCCGGTTTTCGAGAAATCACGAATTTCAAACGAAACCACACAAAATCTCCGAAGTTCTCAATTAATTATTATTTTTTTTTTTAAATCAGGTTTTGGTGAACATTTGGTTCACTGGTTTGCTAGTGTTTTCTTAATATGCTTCATTTTGAACAGGAAAATTTCGAATATCTAGCAATTCTATGGGCCCATGGGGTCCAAGCACTCGTTCCCTTTTTAAGGAAATGGCAGAGGCTTACCGAAGTGATTAGGCTGGCAGCCATCTTGGTCAACGGATCAGCCATCCAACGCGGTAATGCTACCAGCCTATTGGGTACCATTCCTGATGGCGGTGCTAGGGGTGACATATTTTTGTAAATAATTTATTTAAGTAGGTAATGTTAAGCTATTATAGATTTAAAGTTTGTGTTATTTAATTGTTTCAAAATTATTATACCTTATAAAATAGTCTAGTAGTTGTGCCGCTGTAATACTATATCCATACCATATTTTAATCATATCTCAGAGTTTTTTCAAGATCTTCTCAAAATATATTTACTTTGCAACCGCCGTCCTGCATAAATCGATTCAGCAACCTGTTTTCCCTTGCATTTTGCATATATTCAGTAGCAAATGGGTAAATCTCCAGAGGCGCTTGCACTTTAAGTTCACTCTCACGTCTCCGTAAAAGCCAACGGGTAACTACGAAAACTGAGTATGTTAGTTTATTCTACGCTAATGTATATAAATTACAAACTCAAGCACTTCACAGTTCAAATTAAGCACAATCTTTTGACAGTTATATTAAAATTCATTTTAAAGTGAAACTTTTATTACATTGCCACAAAGTTTTTCGCATCTTTAAATGTCGCATTACATTTTTAATTGTTATTTAAAATATCAAACCTTACTAACAAGCAAGCATCGGTGGTTCAGTGGTAAACTCGCCTGCCGCACGGAATCAATCCCCAGCTGCGTAAAGGCTTTTTTATTTTCAGCTTTTTATATGTCAACGTATCCTTTAATAAGTATAGGTACTTAAACACTTTAAAAGTTTCACTTGCATCATAGTTTTTTTTCTTCTATGAAATTACCAAAATGGCCGTATTAATTGTTTGTTACTATTCTCTATTATGAGAATACCAACATACAGTGAATTAATTTATATAATTCAAATAACAGACTTTATAGCTTCCAAAAATCTGCCCCGCCCGCAAGTTGTCATCTACCTTGTAGAAGACAGAATCCGAATAACAAAATGTTGTATGTCTCTCTTGCAGTAAGTAATAAAGTAAGCAGTACCTTTAGCACGAACCAATATCGAATTCTTATCGTTTGCGAGTCCGAAATGTCATTGTCAAATATGTACCTACTGATTTTTAGTTCTCGTTACGTACTTTGTGCCGCTGCTGTTCAAGTTGCCATACAAAATTTGACATTGACATTTCGGTTTGCAAACTATTTGAATTCGATAATGATTCGTGGTAGGGGTACAGAACTTAAACAGGTAGAATACCCCTGGCTGTTTAAAGCGTCTCTAGATAAGTATATATAAGTAATAGAGACAAAACATATTTTATTTATTTTTATTTTATTAAATATATAGCCATCAAAGAGGTCGACATTGTAACGATTCACATAGAAAAGCACTGTCTTTCAACATTGATAAAAGAAGTTCGCTTCGGATAAAGAAATAACTACGTGCTTTCAACACAAATATACGAGACTTCTGTAATTTTGTATTCTCAAACACATTTATCTCACTTAAAATACAAAAGCACAAACTTTTCACTTAATCGCTATCAAGATCTAAAAGGCTAGGTATTTAGTATTTCTCACGAAACTCTTTGGTCATTAAATGTACAAAGGAGTTTATGATAACGAAAAAATATTTCCACTACATTTCGTGACTATACCAAAGAAAGATATGATGTAGTAGTCTGTATTGAAGAGACACGTAAACTAACATCGTTGCGTCTACATTAACGTATGTATGAGGCAGCCTATTTTGGCAATATTAATAACACCGCACGCTTTCAGGTAATCTATTTAACACGAACATTGAATAACAAGTATCACATTATTAGAGAAAGCTTGCTTACTCACGTAGTACAGCGGGGCTGTGATACTTACACTACACTTCGAATATCGACCTTGTTTCTTGGAATCGGAAGCGCGGCCAATTTATTTCTAATCTTATCTCTCAACCAGTAACATGGATAGAAAATTTTTAGTTTACTTATATAAAAATATATTGCAATACTAAATCTCTGTAATAGAAGGTTATTCGCATAAACGGACTGCTGAGTTAAAAGAACTTAGCAGACCGAACTCGACTGGACTCTGCAAACTTAACAAACACTAATTTTATATGAAATGCCACTATGTTTGCAGATACTGCAACCAGGAGCGTGAAACACCAAAACAACGTCTATGTGAATGTGGGCCACCTGTCTACAAACATAGTATTCATCTGGGACAATATAATATAACGTCCAGAGGAAATCAAATCTCTAAAAGCTTCGTTACGTTCTGAGCTTCTTGGAAGCTTAAAGAGATACTTTGACTTGGTGGCAAGTCCCAATGAATCTTTTAGGTCGCAGTAACTACAGTTTCATTAGAACTGCATAGTCCCAAAACACTGGAATAATAATATTATTGCAAAATAAACAATTACCACAGCTCCATTGAAAGAAGTGGTTCTAAATGGGAAAGCGTAATAAAGTTGTTAAATTAATGCGAGCATTACTGAAACGCCAGAAGCTTATCTATGTTCTAATCTACAATAGCTGATAATTTATATGTTCCGACAAGTAGTGTGTGACGTGTGAACACGGATTTCGAATTTCCCATGCGGTCGGTTAGTGAACATTTGTCACACTGCAAACATCAAATATAGATTCAGTGAGATCCAAGGAATTTATATACCTAACAGCAACAGGTATATAAATTTCTTGTTGAAGTCACCTTTAAATATGTAACGACATTATGAGTCGTTTAAACGTAATAAGCAGATCTGATTCTCGGAATAGTCGAATAGTCTTATCAACGCAGGACCTAAGTTTCAATAATATGTATTAAATAGGATTAGGGCAAATTCAAAACCCACGTCAAGACTTTGTAACTTAATAAATATATATTCGTGGGGTTCCATGTCGCAAGTGGTTAGCGCGTTCGGCCTGCGATTGTGAAAGTTAAGCTACTTTCGCAATGGTCGGTAATTGGATGGGTGACCAAAATCTTATTATCTCGAGCTCCTCTCCTCATGCTTCATTAGCACCCACCAATCCGCACTGGGCCAGCGTGGTGGGTCACGGTATGTCTCCCTATTCCATCCACAGAGAAGGTCTGTACCCCTGCAGTGGGGACATTAATAGGCTGATTATGATACACATATTTGTATAAACATGATTACAAATAAACTGCAAACAGTATCAGTTTATACATAATGAAAGTTAGTACTGACGAAAAATTAAAATTTCACATTTTAATAAAACATTCACTACGTACACCCCATACACAACTGTCAGGTTGACTGGCTCGGTGTAAGCTCGGGTATGCCGATTTCGGCATAGTATTTGTTGCCGCATTGGACAAGTACGCCGGCGATATCTAGTCGAGTGAAGCGAGACCAATCATTCATCTATGATGTTACATTATTTTTTTTGCTCAGTTTGCATTGGGCAGACAGTGAATGTAAGATTAGGTAAATGTATTATCTAGAATTGATTGACTGAAAACTGTTAGTTTCAATAAATAAATAAAATAAAATAAAAAATAAATGTTTGTCAGAATTAATTCAACGTGGTCTAAGCATCAGAGTATCATTTTCTTTAGATTTATAAATATCGTATAATTAATTGTTTTAACAGTTGGATCGTATGTGGCGCGGCGTTCCTTGCACATCTTCTGTCTACTGGGCTGCAGCTAGCCTACGGCGCTCTACACGTCTACGCGCTACGACACCTCGGACCAACTGCTGACCACGCCGGTGAGAAACATACAAAACAATATTGTTAACAATTGGATCGTAGGTTTGTAGCTACGGCTACGAAGCTCTACGCTTTACGCCACCTCGGACCAACTGCTAACAACGTCAGTAAGGAAAATACAAATCAGTATTGTTAACAGTTACATATGTGACGCTGCATTCCTGGCACTCCTTATGACTACGACTGTACACATCTACGCGCTGCGACACCTTGGACCAACTTTTGACTACGCTGGTAAGGAAAAGACAAAACAATATTGTTAGGCATGTGATATGACGCTGTGATCCTGCCTATGGCGCGCTCCACGTCAACGCGCTGCGACACCTCGGATCAACTGCTACACACATCGCGCCGGTAAAGAACATACAAAACAAAATTGTTAATAGTTGGATTGTTGGTATGTGTCGCAGCGTTCCTGGCACACTTTCTGTGTATTGGGATGTAGCTGGCCTACGGCACGCTACGCCCCTACGCACTACGAACCCGCGGATCACTGATGACTGCACTGATGCGGGACATACAAACCATTGTTGGCAGTTGGATCTAATGTAACACGCTGTTCTTATCACGCCTGCTTTATACTGGACCAAAAACAGCCTACGGCGCACCACTATTACGCACATGCATTCTTGTGAGAACTGTGCCGACCCTAACATATACAACAAAACACAAAATGAGTTGAAAAAATGGATGGCAAAAAAATAAACATTTGTGTTTATTTTTTTGTCATCAGATACCGGTCAGACACCTTTCGCGTTGTTGTCATTAAAGTTAGATCACTGCATGAGAGAAAGTTATGGAAGATGTGGACTACCCGTCGAAGTTCCGCTAAGTTGTTGTACATATTCAAGTGGACGACCGAACCTACTACTAAGAATTCGCTTATATCTTAATGGTAAGCATTAAAACATTAACACAGAAATTGTAATATTCTCATCATCATCATAAGCCTTTTTATGATTCCATTGCTGTGGCAGAAAAAGGAATGAAGGAGCGAGACTGTAAGCAAGCAGTTTTTTTTTACTGTAAAAATAGTTCCAAAATCTATGTTTTCGAAATACTGCTTGTAAGTCAACTTTTTCAAACACTGTCATTAAGTTAAAAGCCCCTTAAGCAAAAGGTTATCCGATATTTTCAGTTTTAGTTTAGAGAATCAAGTCCATTTACAACGCCTATATTACATAGTAATAAAAGTAGCAGAGAAGATTCGTAGTGCAAGGGTATTAAATTTAAATGACAACTACAAGAGAATTGCGGATATAAGGGAATAGGGGGGAAATATAACAGTTCATATGTACCGAGTGGAAACGGGATATGCGATTGGGGAAAGAACAATCCGGAGTCGTAAACTAGGGCCGGCGAGACTCTGAACGCGACTCCGAAAGCAATCTATCAACGGCAGCCCTCCGGAAACACTTAAATAAACAAACGAAAAAAAGAAAACTTTTTACAACGCCGAATGAAAGCTTTAATGGTTTTATTTTAAAACGATTTCGTTGGGTTCCTTTCTAACGCGAAAGCAATTCTGTCAGATACCCGCTGTCCAATTTGACTGGCTTCTTTCCTGTAATCCGTGTAAAACCATAATTTAATTTAACAAATTAATTTCTATTACCAAACCACGTTCGTACAAGCAAAGTATAAGATTTAATATTAAACAAATGTACTTTCCCAGTCACCGGTATTTGCGGACTAGCCTGATTTATTGAATTAATTTTCCAAGATTCACGACCAGGGTTGAATATTAAGAGGCAGAAGTAATTTCGGTTATGAGCGCGGTCTTTGTTGTCAGTGGCGAAGGCGGAACGGGGGGTATAACTCTGTCAGGTTCGCGTTAGCTCAGAAATTGGAAATTTAGCTGGAACGTTAACGAGTAAAGTTACGTTCTGTGATCGGGCTTCGCGCCAGAGCGACTCGCGAAACGTCATGACCGCAGTCGTGACCAGAATAAAGGCAGTAGACAGCGTCACCTGCTAATTTCTCTTTGTCTTTTGTTTAACTAAACTAGATTGTGTGATAAATATCAACATAGGCGAAGCTACAATAAACGAACCCTAACAATGGCAATGAGCGCTATTGGCTAACCAACATCACGGCACAAGCATCCTGGTTAATTGCTTTAAGTGAAACCTTCCAACGCGCAGCTCTATTGCCAAAATTTCCTTTATCTCACATTCAGCTTAATGAGTTTTGTGAAATATCTTGCTTTCAGTACTCGCTGCCAATTATCATCATTTCTACAATGTCAAAGAACACGCGGATAGTGATATTTTACGTATCATTTTGGGTAGCACAAGATGTTTATGTTATTGTGTATGGAAATCGTAATGATAAGGTGAGGAAAGATCGCTAACGTATTGTCACTAATTTCTTGTGCTTTTGTGATTAGCTTGTGCAACATATAACAACTACGTTTAAATACAAGAATGATATATGTATAGATATGTATTAAACATACATATCTTAATTCTGGCAGTCGCCATGTCCCGAGTAGGGCAGGCAACAGGGTAGAAAAGCACTACAAGGCAAAGTCCATAGTAGTTAAAATAATATACACTTTCATATACGTTTCCTACTACATACCTACTTTGATATCTTTTCTTGATTTTGAACAAAAATGACAGTTATAATTTTTATTTTTTAAGCATGTAACTGCTGGATGTTTAGATCTAAAGAAAATATAACTAGAAAAAAATCCACGCGGACTAGGCAGCAGACGGGACTTGAACCCGCACCCTTCGTTATCCGGGCGAATGCACTGACCAATTATGCTACCGCGGCCCTGATGGCCGCGTCGCAATTCTAGCCGTGCTTAAGCTGCAAGGCAGCGCCATCTCTTCGCATTGTAGGTAACATATTAGGTTAATATAAAAATATCAGGTTGGAGGAAAAGTTTCTACGCATTTTATATGAAAATACAAAACATTTTTTAATAAATTTATTTACATTTAACTAAAGTACCTATGGTATATGTATATGGTAGGTCCCATTTTGTTCGATAACTTTTTGCCATCTTTTAGGTAGGGACGTAATCCCATTGTTATAGAAATTTTTGGGGCTTCTGATCAAAAAATCGCGATCAGTGGTTTTTCAGTCCTCTCGTGATGATAACCTGACACTGCCTAATGATTTCTGAAGAGACTGAAACAGGTGGAAATCGGAAGGTGCAAGGTCAGGACTATACGGCGGTTGCATTAACACCTCCCAGTCAAATTCTCTTAATTTTTGATGAGTGGGTAAAGATGTGTGAGGTTCCAATTCGAGCGGGAAATCCGCTATGCCCTTATTGATTATTACTATACCTTAGCTTTTTTGCTGTCTAGTTTGGGCTGGAGCAATTTGCGTGGGCGTGTCCCGTGCTGCTGGTGCTCTAGTGGCAGGTCGCAAGAAGTCCCCAAGACTGATAGCACTGCTGGGAGGGCTGCTCCTGCCACTTGCTTGCCTCTTTACCTCCTTTGCAACGCAGCTGCACCAAATATTGCTGAGTTACGGTGAGTAACCATAAACATCTATATATATATATATATGTTTATGATATATATATATATATATATATATATATATATATATATATATATATATATATATATATATATATATATATATAAAGGTATAGAAAAATATAAATAAAATATATATTTCCAACACACACCAATTAGCTTAGCCCCAAAGTAAACACTATAAGGCTTGTGTTATGGGATACTAGGGTAACGGATAGAACACATATATTGTACATATATAAGTATATTTTTATAGAAATACATATTAAACATCCAGGCCTGGAGTACAAATGCTCGTATTCATCACACAAACATCTGCCCCCACCGGGATTTGAACCCGGGTCCTCTCGAGTCGGCGATACCATGAAACCAGGCGTACAAACCACTCGGCCACGGAGGTCGTCTAGATGTTTATATTATAATTATATATAAAACATAACAGTAGCAGCTGTATCTGTTGCCTGCATACATTGCCTGCAGCCGCTACCAAAATGTATTTCATACATCCGCAACCAGGCTACCTTTAACCGCTGCACGGTTCGGAATAACACCTTAAGTGCCAATAGAAATCATAGTTTTTTATTCATAATAAAAAACTATGATTATTATTATTATTTTATTTTTTTTTATATTATTATTCTCCGTTTGTTTTCAAGTTTCCAAAAATATAGAACTATTCATAATTTCCCAAAAAGTTTTTAGGTACACTCACGGAAAGACCCGCTCTGTCACCTATAATGCCATAATCGCTTGCGGTAGCGGCGTAGTAAAAATTCATTCTAGACATGTAATCATGTCTTACTTTTTCGTATAGCGCTGTCGCGATCACGATGCGGATGACAAATTGCAATTAAAAAAATGCAATTCAATTCATTAATCAATCAATGAAATGCTCTCTGTCTTACTTTTGTGCGGCGGCCCGGATTGGCGCGTCCGACGCGAAGGCGGGGCGTAGTAAAAACTACTGTAGAAAAGCATTTTGTTCGCCAAGTGACAAAGCGCAAAATTCCGCGATAGTACCTATTGATATTAAGAGATTAAAGGCTGGCTGAATATTGACCAAAGACCAAGCAATCAATGTTTAGCCAATTGAAGTACGATTTCTTGAATTTTGTTTATATGTATGATTGTTATAAACTAAGCTATTTTTATTTGTTTTATTACCGTTTTTCTTGTTTCTTTTTGTTTTTTTTTTTTTGTTTTTTCGTTATTCTTTAAACTAAAAGTGGTACAAAATTTACCGGGTCAGCTAGTAATAATAACAAAATTAGTGAAAGCAAGTTTTTAGTCTACTTAAGCCCTTAACATCTATGTTGGGACAGACCAGAGATGTTAATAATTGATATTCCATTACCGTCCCATTTCATGTGAAATGAAGCAGCAACGTGCCAGATAAGGACAGTCAAACTGCCTATCCTATATATCTATAAAGACGGTAATATTTCTCAATGCTGATTTTTCAATCCTCGGTTAAGTAATCTGAAATATTATTTAAAGAAAACACTTCTCAATTATTTCAAATTTTTTATTATTCAAAAAGTTGTTGATGTCTTTAAAAAGGGTTGCTCACAAGTTTTATTAAAAAATCAAAACAATATTTGAAATTGATTACGAAACTTCTTCGTACCACCGGTACTGCTCCTTTTTAACAATATCATATTTTATATAAAAAGGTCGGACAAATGACTTTCCCCCACCTGAAGTTAAGTAAGTGGAGTCCAGATGCGTAGATAGCTGGTGCTGCAGTTTTACCTGCCACACCAGCTATCCTCACCTTGACAGCCAGCAAGGTTCTTCTTCAGGCCTCTTTTAAAGGATCCTGGTTTGTAGAAGGGCGGAAACACGCGGACGGGAAAGCATGACCCACCCGCGTGTTCAGGCTTGTAAGGTAACGACATTCATCGTCTCTTTTAAAGGATCCCAGGTTGCAGAATAGCGGAAACTAGCGGGCGGGAAAGCATATCTATAAATACCAGCTTCTTGCAGGTGTGGTGTTGGGTATTGGATGCGGTCTAGTACGCGAGGCTGCTGGTTTGGTGCTGGGGGCGTACTTTCGACGAAGAAGGCAATTCGTGGAGCTGGTAGCACACGCTGGCGGAGGCGTCGGCATTGCACTGTTTAGCGTTGCCTATAAGGAGGCTGTGGGGTGAGTATGAACTTCTTGGCCATTCTCAAGAAATGTCTTTCTTTTACCAATGTCACTCAGTAAAAAATATATTTGGGAAAGAACTTTCTAAAACTGTACCGATATAATCAATCAATCAATCGTTTATTTATTTTTCTCTCACATAGAAGTAGATGTACCATTTGTGGTTAACAAAAAAAATTAGTACATCATGTAACCTATTGTGAGAGACCAGTGCCATGTATTCTGTGAGGCTGTGCGGAGAATTCAAATGTTAATTGTTAGATTAACATTCTAATGGCAAAAATATGATGTTGTCACGAAAGTGTCAGAGATATTGATTGAGTTGCTGATTTTAAATATTTTTTCAAGTTTTGCCCTTTGTTTATTTACTCTCTTGATAGAGCGTCACCAAGTGAACACTGCGATAATAAAAACAGACGGTCTTATGTACTTGTTTGCGTGACACGCAAAACAAAACACGCGAATCCTGCATCTGACACTCGGGAATGTCATTATTTTTGTCTCGGTGCGCATGCATAAGAAACCAGGTTAGGCCACATTCCCCAGAAACATGAAACATCATTGTTCACACAATTAAAAATCTTATACTTAGATATTTGAAAAATAAACTGTTACTAATATTTATTAAGTATAACTTAAATAATAGTCCTAATAATATAAAAACAAACAAGGTGGACCTTTTTTCATATTATGATGATTAAGGCTTTGAATTTCGTAGTTTAATATTATTTAACTTTAAAATTTGACATATTATACATATCTCTGTGACGCATAACTTGTTTTACAATTATTTTAATTAATTATTTTATTGAAATGATCTGAGCATATAACCGTAGTTTTTACTGGTTGACAGAAATCTTCTCTATGACTTCTTATGACGTCCACCCACCGACTTTAGGTAGGTAGTCTGGAAATAGTGGACTTAATCAAAACAAATACTAGTTACCTCCAACGGTTTAAACCACCCTTTGTCATACCTCGGCAGTTAGATAATATATTAAATTCATTTGTATTTTGTAATTATGTAGCAGTGGAAAACTGCTACAAAATCTGTTATTATATCCAATTTCTGGAGTAAAGACGCGATTTTTACTATTGCGGTTAACTATGGTACGAAATGGTCGTGGAATATTAAAAATTACAGTACCTAGTGAAAATTTACCTTGTCCTTAATAATCGTTTTAATATTTGGTGTGGATTATGAACCACTATGAATTGTCCTCTAAAATAATGAAATGAAATGATAGATATATGAAAAAAATAAATCATTTGTCATGCATGAGGTATAAGAATAGAGTAGGGGAGATATGTACTCTACTACTAGTGGAAGTGTCCGTCTAGTAGAAAGAGAAAGAAGATAAGAGACGGCTAGCTATCTCTCTCTCTTGTGACGCTGCGCAATCGTGTGATTGGTCGGTATTGCTGCGCAGTCGTGTGATTGGTCGGTATTCATCCGTAGGTTTTTCATCCAATGCTCATTCGCGATTAGAGAGAGAAAGGCTAGCCAGCTCTCATCTTCTTTCTCTTTCTACTAGACGCACACTTTTAGAGCCGCCTTGCCCACTCTATTCTTATACCTCTATGATCGTTCAGCGTTACATTGAACACTAAGTGACGGAAAACGACTTAGAGTCAAGCAGTAGGCCTATATTTTTTTTAACTTCATCTGCGCTGCCATGCTCTATCTAGCAGTAAATAATCAAAGGTATTGCCATATGTGACCAGTCGGTAAACAACTTTGGAAAGTTTTTTCGACGAAACATTTAATCAACTTTTATAAATGTTCCATAAAAATGTAGACTGTAAAAGTTGAGCGTTTATTTATAAATACCAAATATATGAATAATTTAAAATACCGTAGCCTCACTTTACCCAGCCATGAGAAATTAATGAAAATGAATGTTATGCTTAAAACTGCATATCTGTATATCTCTCTCGATACACCCCATAACTCTCATATCTTGATGGAATTGAAATAAATTACACTGATTAAAATGGAAATGGGAAACGGAAGTACCAAAATGTAAATGATATCTATGGAATGTCAAAATTCACAAATAAAAAAAAATCTAGCTAATTTAAAAAGAAAAGTTTTAGGATTAATAAAATCATAGTAGTATGAAAAAATAAATCGATCAATAACTTATTCCTCATCATATTTTTTTAGTATTATGATTTAATGCAATACATACTACACTTTCGCATTTTATGAAATAATAAGCGATAAATTAAACATCTCATTATATTGCCTATACGATACTTTTCCAGTAACATAGTGTATTAAAAACATCACGTTACCGCGAAATATTTGACAAAAACGATGATTATCATAAATCTCATCATGCAACTGCAATTTTCATTCTGTTGTCAAATTTCAAATTTATTTATAGTCTAATATGTCTGTTCGCTGGCAATATATGTTAATTTTTTCCTCTGTTTTAGAAAATTAGGTTGGCGTTTGGGACTGCAAGCAGTAACAGGCGTGCTAGTGTTAGCGTTTTTCCTAAGCACTGTTTATAGAAGCGCTTCCCTCTATCACCCTCAGAGAAGAGCGATTCTACACCTCAAAAACCAGCGTCGAAAGGTCAGGTTTAATGAGAATATTAATGTCGTTTTTGCTTAATTATTCGCTTTAAATTAAAATCAAAGAATAATTAGGGAAGAGAGGACTCAAGTTTAATTTAATTGGTGGATTCTCTTTTCACTTATAAATATCCGTGATTTAAGAATTCCTACGAAAGCGGAACCCTATTAGCGCAGTATTACGACCACGCTTGTTCCGAACTGACAAAATTGCTGCCCTGAATTCTGAATACGGAGTACTTATCGAAATTGACGTTTACAATTCCTCAGATGGGGCTTTTTCATGTAGATTCAGCTTTTTTTTCTCTGTCTCTCTCGTGAATATTTTTCGTCGCCCGCGCTCATTAGTTCTTTGGAACTGTAAACGGAATTTCATTTGTCCATCTCATTTGTTTACGTATAATTAATTTGCGTCCCTCAAAAGGATTTTCTATTACATTTTATTTCGTGTAATTGCAAACCTTGACACGGTCGTGCGTAAAATCAAATTGAATTTTCGCAATAATCCCAGTAAAATAATCGTACACAAAATTACGTACTCTGCCCTTTTCAGTTCCACTTGTTTCATGTCCATTTAAACGCCTACCAGTAAGCCTGCATCATCTTTATAATTTATGTAGACAAATGACAAGCGAGCCCTTACTCAAAATATTTTCCCCGCAGTGTGTCTAATTAATGCCTGGGATTTCTTTCCCTGATGTTCTGTATTGTCCGACTTGACAGGTGAAAGAGAAAAAAGGTCTGAAGCGCGCCCCCCTAATCGATCTAAGCCCCCTACACTCAAGGCCGGCTAGAGTGTTGTTGTGTTCTGCTGGATTAGCCGCATTTGGGCTGTACACTCCGGTATTTTTTCTAGTAAGTTTTTATTTATTGAACTTCTTTTCCACTGAACATTACAATGTGATTTGATGTTAAAAGTTTTAACATACTTTAAATATGTGTAGAATATATACCTAAAATTACAAAAAGATATATATTTATCGATTTTGGATTTTACTGAGAATATTTTCAGATAAACTCAGAATAAGTAACAATATCTTTTGCTGCTGATGATATTCATGATACATTTATTTAAATTGAAAAATAAAATGCATAAATAAATTATACCTAGAATTATATGGTATATCGATATTATTATAAGATTGTAATTTTTATACCGAAGAATCTCTAAAACTTTTGATAGACCGGAATTTGTTCTTGACCAAAGTGCTATAAAATATATTGCTATAATTGGGTTACAACGCAACATTCATTATTCATACATACTCACAACAATTTGCATATTAATACGTAATATTGACACATAAATGTTGCTTGATCCGAGACCCTGAGAGCATGTAATATCGTTCAAAGAATCCTCATTTATGTGAACATTCATATTATCCTACATACTAAATGATATGTGAAAATAGTACGATTTTAATTGAGTTGTAAAGAATGATTTTAACTCATTGAATATTCCTGGTTAAAATCAGTATCGAAAGACAAATTCGTTTTCAATTTAAATTGATTGCGTAAAAGATTTGTTCAATGAACAAGAATGACTTTTGGTTATTCTTTCCTTACCTTCTTATATAAAAGGCTATCTCGTGATTTATTTGATCAGAATTAAGACTAATATTATGATCAAGATTCTTAGCAACATATAAACATTTTTAAGTGTGATTTTTATTTGTGTCTCAGAATATTAAGTCACGAGTTTGATTTCCGTAGGCAAGGAAACCTGCGCAGTTTTACATACAAAATCATCTACTGCGCAAGTTTATTGGTCTGTGGTTTTGCTCATTAAGTTTTCCACCAAATTTTGAAATAAGTAAAAGTAAAAATAACTAACTATATGAAAATAATGAAATAAGAACTATAATCTGGGGATCTGGGGGCTACAATATCGAAGTGTATTTGTACGAACCATGTAATATAAATATTCTTTAATTTAGTGGTATATTTTACTTATTCCATACAGAACTGACCAATTGGTAGATGATTCGAGAATTTCACATTTGTTTATTTTTGTTTAATAGTGGTGAACGTGACTGACTTTTTTTAGTTAGGTAAGGTTAGGTCCGGCGTGCTTGATTCCCAACAAGGAACCCCATGCCGTCATAAACCACCAGGGAGGGCACATCCCACATCTAGGTGGGTTAGTGGGAGGTGGGTCCCACATAACCCTCGCCGCTAGGTAAGACGACGGGTCTTAGCCAGCGGCGAGGTATGCGTCAAGCATTTCATCGGGTCATAAAAAAAAGGTTAGGTTAGGTAAGGCGATCATTAACTTTTTCTTGAAATAGGCTCTGCAAGGGTTCCAAGAGGGCTTGGAGGAGAGCGCTCTGGTGCTCCTGCAGACGTTCCTTGGTTTCGCGGCGGTACTCGGCTGCGCTGGCTTCGGGCTCGTGCTGGTGCGGCCGTCTGCACAGTGCCTAGTCTCCAAGCAGTACCTCTGCCAAACCGCCATGTTAGGAATTGGTAAGAGACATCAACATCAGCCTATTAGTGTCCCCACGGCTGGGGCCCAGGCCTTCCCTATGGATGAAATAGGGAGATCGGGCCATGACCCACCACCCAGGGCCAGTGCGGATTGGTGTGTGCTAACGACTGCAGATGCAACGTGCCTTTCGAAGCACAGAGGTGCTCTAGATAGTAAGTTCTTGGTCACACATCCAATGACTTAATATATTATAATATTACTGGCTTTGAGATCATGCTGGTGCGACCGTCCGCACAGTGCCTCGTCTCTAAGCAATACATCTGCCAATCCATAGCGGTTGGGAATTGGTAAGAAAAAATACATGACGTTTTAATTAAAAGCAATACCTCTACCAAACCGCCATGTTAGGGATTGGTAAGAAATATACATGACGTTTTACTTAAATATTAGGTCGGGGAAAAGGTTTCTTCGCATTTTATATAGAGACCCAAATATCATAGCATGATCCCATTGCTATAGAAATTTTGTGGCTTCTGATCAAAAAACCGCGGTATGTGTTTGTGGCAGTCCTCTCTTGATGTTAACCTAACACTGCCTAAACTGCCAGTCAAACTCTCTTGATTTTTGCTGAATGTCTAAAGATGTGTGAGATCTAGCGTTTATCATGATGAAAAACCACACCCCTTATGTTAATTAATTCCGGCCGCTTTCTGTCAACTTCTTGCTTTAATCTCATCAGTTGTTCGTAGTCGAGTTCAGAATCTATAGTGCTGCCTAGCGGTAACAGCTCACAATGAATAATGCCCTTCCAATCCCTCCATATACACAATATCTATTCGAAAGTCTGTGAAGCCTGACTGGCCTTTGACCACTACCTTTTTCGCACGTTCTTGTCGTACGTGATCTACTTTTTATCACTAGTTATCAGCTTCTTCAAATATAGTTCGGTTTCATTACGGCGTCATAAAGAATCACAAAGGAGTACACTGTTCATTAGGTTTTTTTCAGTGAGCTCGTGAGAGGCCCAAATACCCCCAAAGTACCCATTGGACCCTCCTAATTGGACCTTACCTACAAAAAAGTGCCCGTTCGACCTCCTATCAAGAACATGGTGCCCATTGGACCCTCAAAGACGTACTTAACGACACAATGGGAGCTATTGGAGCTCTTAACTATTTGGCTAATTCTTTTGGAACGGTAAAGTACAGTCGTGTAGTAAAGTAACATTGTATAAGACATAAAAACACAAAGGTTATAAATCTAAGTATTTAATCAACATATTTATAAAATTCAAAATACTAATCATCAGTAAAAAACCAATATAAATATTTATATAAAATATAATAATCAAATCACAGATTTTTTACTTTACTTTTAAAGCCAATAGAAATTATTTTTTATCAAATAGCTTAACTAAATTATAAATATGGTTTGTTATATCACACAGATTAAGCACAATTATTATATATTCTAAATATTGATAAAATAAATAAAAGCACAAAGATTATAAATGTAAGTATTTAAAATCAACATATTTATAAAATTCGAAACATCAATCATCAGCAACAAACCATATAATATAATAATCAAATCACAGATTTTGTTATTTTACTTTTAGATAGAAATGTTTTTTTATCAGATGTCTTAACTAAATTATACATACATTTTTTATATCACTCAGATTAACTATTGAAGCATAATTATTATGTATTCTAAATATTCATAAAATAAAATACCAATGTAATATTTTCATATTCCATTTTATAAAAAAATGTTTTCTAATCATATTTTTACAATTAACGAGAAATTGCTTATTATAAAAACATACTTTAACTAAGGGATATGGTTCAAAAGCGGTAGTCGGTTTCCGGCAGGGACGAAATATATATAATTTGAGAGTTTGTATAATATATAGATACTTTGATTTTTTATTCATTACCGATTAATTTAAAATCGTGTTTAATAATTAAACAATTTTGTAAGTATGCTGGCCACCCTATCTTAGTAACGTCATATTTTTAGTGCGTGGTAGCTTATAACGTCAACTCAATCACTTTTTATCAGAATTATTATCACTGCTTTTGTAACACATTGAACATAATAAATTTGATGCTTGGCAAAAAAAATAGATAAATAAACTTGCCATTTGCAAATCAATTATTTATTATAGATGTATGTTATTTTAATATAAAAAACCGGAATAAAATAAAATTCTAGTTTTTTAAAGCCGAAAGACCCACTACCAACCTCCATAAAAAATTTTAGTCTTCTTTTGTAAAACATTATAAATTACCAAATTAAATATTTAAGACACATATGTGAGTAATTTTTCTAAGCAATGGCCTACGGTTGTAAGATATTTTCTAGCTGCAACATAGGTCATAAATCTGAACGAGACAGCAATATTTCTCTCTCTCCCACATATGAGATCGGCGCCATCCTTTTGTTTAAGCGCAGAGATTGCTTGGGCTTGGAATCTATGTATAACCTTCCTTTCATCAGGTGCTTAAGAGGAGTATAACTGCCGATAAAAACACTCAATCTCCCTCAGAATTTTCCCTCAGAAATTTGTCTTAGATCAAAAGATGATGTCATGTTGCTTAGATTGTCTAGATCTAAGCTGTTTTAAGGAACTTTGAATCAATCGAACTTTGTTCGATTTGAAAGGTCTTGTGGATTTGGTGTTGCGCTGTAAGGGTATTCATTGGTCAGTGTACGATCGCCCTATTGAGTGAAACCTTTTTACATTAATGATCATTAATGTAATTAAATTTAAAATTAATGTTATTAATGATCATTCCTTTAAACCTAAGGCACAAACATATATAATGTCAAATGTAAAATAAAAAGATATTGAAGTATTATCATTGTCACTGGCACCATTTTAACCCATAGAATAAAAATAAATGTCAGTAGTGCAATATTTGGTTTTGGCTCCTTGTCAATACGAATAAAATAAAAATAAACATTATACAAATTCAATTTTGATTTGATTCACTTTTTATTTTCTAAATATCTCCCTTATATCTTATTGTACGAATATCTTACTAAAAAATCCAAATGTGTTAAAAATTAGCTTTTCTTAAAGGTTACTATCATCTGTCTGCGTCCAGTATATATAGAGCAATAAACAAAAAACATTTTTTTTTATTTTTCCTGAAAATTTACATTTTTGTAGTTATCTTTTTATTCTCCGGGGACGGCGAAATATTGTTAATTCGAAGAAAAAAGGTAACCTGATTTCTTTATAATTTGTTTAGGAGTACTTACTGTTTGGAGTAAGTACATATACAGTATTTAGTTAGTGGCTTTATAATACCTACTATTAATTTTATTTTTGTCTGCAATTTTCTACATGACTGTACTGTGCTTAACAAAACTGTCAATAAGGTCCAACTGCCAGTAGGGTATAATCTTGAAGGTCCAATGGGCACTTAAAAAGAGGTCCAATGGGCACATTGAATATAATTTTTTTAAGGAGGTCCAATGGGCACCAAAAAAGAGGTCCAATGGGCACATTGAATATAAAATGTTTTAAGAAGGTCCAATGGACACCAAAAAAGAGGTCCAATGGGCACTTTTTGCTTTTGGGTCGAATCTTGAGGGTCCAATGGGTACTAGACCGCCCAAATATCTATATTTTGATATCGAGCTATTTGTGTACCCAGCTTTTTTCAAATGCACCAAAACTGTTCTGAGGTCAATTCCCAGTTCTTCGGCTACGTCGTAACTACAGACATGCCGATCTTGCTCCACTTTTTCAAAAATGGCATCCATTTTATCCGTAACAAGGCGACCACAGCGACATGCTTCTTTGACATCAAAATTTCCGGATTTAAAACGCTTAATCTCTCTCACACACACTAAACTAGATTCATAAACATTACAATTTTTTTTCGTGGCTTTCGTTGCATTTTTACCTTTTTTGTAAAAATGTATCGAATTTCTTCATTAAATTTACTCATCTTGACAGTCTGTATTTCTTATACACATGAAAATCACACATTTTCTAATTTGAATTTGGAATTATCTTCTTTAAAATTTAAACTTTTTAATGATACCAAAACCAGCCACATGCAAATGATACAGCCAAAGAGATATTATTACAGGTTCATACATACTAAAATGCGAAAAGACTTCCCGAACCTATTAATATTGCACAATGATTTTACGGCCTAGAGAGCTCTTGCAATCGGTGACAGTTATTCTAAGATCGACTACTGCCAATGAAAAAAAGGTTTGCCTCAAATAATTGAAATTGTAGCGCTTTGTCTATGAAATGAATTTTCAGCTGGGCAGCAAATATGAGAGTTACATTGCTGAACTATCAATCTACAGATGTCGCAGCTCAGTTAGTCAGGAATAAATGAAGACAACCAAAAGATTCATCAATAACTTGGCCGCTGCTGTACCCCGCAGCATTTCATAAATAAATAGATTCAAGTATAAATATTTGATGTTAAATAAAGGATTTTGTTCAGTCTTCGACATCAAACAGACAAAATTCTTTTCATAGCAATAAAAGCGTTCGCAAACTTGAAATAAGTCATGAATCTTTATATATATACTTCTTCTGTGAGTGTGTATGTCACTGAACTTCTCTTAAACGACTGGACCGATTTTGATGAAATTTTTTGTGTGTGTTCAAGGGGATCTGAGAATGGTTTAGATTCACAATTTTGTCCGCTGGACAACCCCTATTTTTTAGGGCGGTACGAAGTTCGCTGGGTCAGCTAGTATATTTATATAGCTTCCTAAAATTTTCCAACTAAGTACTTAAAAGTTAATTTCACTAATTTTATGGGTAAAATTAACAGTGGAAATAACTTGTAATAAGCCAAGTTATATTTTAAATTGAAATGCAATCAAATCATTATATCGTGAATTGGTGAAGCTGATAAAATAATTCATCATTTTGTTGATTTTGACCGATAAAGTTCCTTGTTGACTGCAGCGCACCTAAAGAAGTCTCTTTAGGTGCGCTATAAGTTTCTCTTTATGATGAAGATCCTTAAAAGAACTTAAAAGATAATTAATTGACTAATTAATTACTTTTAAGTTTGCCTACAGATAATGCCGTCTTTTTTTGGGATTACAAATGGGGCAACATATGACTTAATGAAACATTTGTTAATTTATCGTTTTTGAATTCGGCTGTTATTTTGAATACATAATAAACGATGCTAATTATTCCAGGTATTTCGATGTTGGCTTTAAGCAGCGTAGAGGGTTACCACGGCTACGTCCTGTTCGCGTGGATGTACGGCCTTTGTTTGGGAGGCTTCCTGTATTCCATAAAAATGCTGACAATGGAGCGCGTCCGTGGGCGACATTTCACAAAGGTTTGGGGTGCGTATGATATTTGTTCAATCCGTCAAAAAATCTTTTCGAATCCCTCGGGTGAGCTCTCACCATATCAACCGTTTTAGGTTCAACAGTGAGTTTTGATATGTAGAATTTTCGTTGAGATATAACAAAAGTGCGTATCTGTAGAGTTGACTAAAGCCGAAGTGATTGGTTCCGAACCTCGCTAATAGAACACAGCTTAAAGTTACTGATTAGTAATGACAGAATTTCATAATGTGTTCATACACTGTAATTATCCAAGTCCCAAGCCCACAAGGCCTTAATTATTTGCTGACTTTCGAGGTCCAGTTTTTTGTGGTTTTATTAGTGTCTGACAATAAATACTGTTGACCCAATGTTCTCTACAACATACATTAGCATCAGTCCTCAGACTGTAAGTAAAGTGAGTAAAAATTTTACGTACCTGTGCCACCTGATATCTGTCAATTGGCCCACAGCAAAAGTTAGCGAGATACGATCATTTTACACTCTAATACTACTTGATAATCCATATGTTGTCCATCAGAATATAAGTAAGGTCTAGCAGCCTGGATCTTACTCTTTTAGTTATCATACTTAATAGAAAGGTATTACTCTAAAAGATAAACATCAATCTGATAATCCCTCAGGGTTCGTACAAGGAGCTGAAGCGATACCAGTAATAGTAGGTGTACCGGTGACTGGGTACATCAATCAACAAGCACCTAGAGCAGGCTTCTACTTCTCGACGGCAACCACTCTCGCGGGGGCTTTACTGCTATTCTTCGTGGGGTTCTCGAAGAGGGACCCTGAACCACCGCCGGCGCCAGCGCCCACTATAGCGGAGGTGTGTCTAGTGATGTTAAATGAAAAAAAAACAACTTTGTTTTTATCTAAAGAAAATTTTACTAGAAAATGTCCGCGCAGACCAGGCAGCAGACGGGACGTCCCGTGGAGTTTTCTCTAGTAAAATTTTCTTTAGATATAAACATCTAGCAGTTAAATGCTAAAAAATAAATATATAAATTTGTTTTTTTCACCATATATAAAAAAATGTAGGACCGTTATGTTTTACCTAAATTTGTGATTGTTTTTCAAGAAAAATCTAAAAATTAATGTTTCATTGATAAGTAATGTTATGCCTCTGCTATTGTGTCAAAATACTGCGCTCTGTTAACCGAATTTATACTTCAAGCAAACTTCCTCAATAATTTTTAATTAATTATTTACTCGCAAAATAAAAACACGTATTTTAATGAATTTTTTCAACCTTTTTTTCTCATTACACTAACGGCCGGTTTCAATCGAATTCCAGTAAGGGTGAACCCTACTGGAGCTCTGTTGCTAAGATATTTTTATTATTAAGGCTATTATAAAAATAGTTTCTAAAAAACACAACCATGTTATTCTTACCTTTTACGGGAGGTCGATTATTGAAGCTGGTTGTTAGAAAAAAATACGAGTGTGCTTATAACCACACGACTGAAGTGAAACTTCTTTAGCTCCATCTGTATATATGTGTGTGTGTGTACAATAAATAATTATATATACATATACATATTCCATTAACTAGGTATAAGAGAACGAGAGAGAGAAAATGTGCGCTTGCTTATATCCCCCACTCAACTCCCGTTCGCCTCGCCCGAACACACTTTTCGTAACGCGTAACGCATTCACCAGCTTACCCCCAAAGGCAAGCGTGCGTAAAGAAGTTTTTCAAAAACTGTTATTTTGCTACTCTAGGTGTGTCCGTGCGTGACGCCGCCCCGTTGCGAGCCAGCGTGGTGCGCTTGCAGCGCTGGAGGGGCTACGGCCTACTGCGCGTGGCCCAGTTCTTCTTGTGGCACGAGATTGCCCAAGTCCCTCTCGTATGCAGCGCCGCTAGACAGGGTGTGCTGCTCAGCAGCGCACTGCCCTGACTGTTGGCGGCAAACTATGCCTTTACGGCCTTCTAGAAGCGTCCCAGAAGGACTGGCTAGACGAGCCAGCACTTGGAATCGCGGCGGCTCCTGCCGACCAAACTGCCGTCGAAGAGAACATCACCTCATAGAACAGATAACCACATCTGTATGATATAACATGTGTTCATACAAAAACGCAGTGACATTCGTGTAAATATTTTATCTCGAGTAGTTTATAGGTACTAACAATTTCGAAGTGATAGATTTTGAAGCAATAATTGGATTGATCATTATGAGTGGTGTAACGGAAAACGTGCAAAGAGAGTTTGGTCGATTTGTGATATTATGTTACATTACGTACTTCAGGTGATTAAGGGAAACTTGTTAACTCAACATTATAATAAACTTGTGCCAAACAACAATCTAATGAATTTCAAGGTCTACTTATCACTTTTACTATTGATGGTAGAGAGTTGTAAATTATTATTAAAATTAGCCAATTTTCCAAAATTCTTCAAGTACTTGTGGGACCTTTACCATTGTAGTTATTTACAAACATCTTATCATAACTTCATTTTTTATGTCCTAATTATTATAACCAAAAAATATTGTACAGACTGTAATTACGTAATCAATGTGAACTCATTTTTTCCCCTTTTTTATTTTTATCAACCTGAATCATATTAGATGAAACTTCTATAAATAAGAATATATCAATAGTCTGCGTTGCGAAGAGTTAATAACAAAGTCAATTTTAGAAGATTATTTTTTAATTGTAGTTACACCGTAACGACCTCATTCAGAGATGTAAATTAAATTTTATGCTACATTAAGTCACGTGTTGACTTATCGCAAAGAAATTGACAGCATCAACTTTAATCCCATTTAAAAGTTAATTGCTCTCTCTGAGTGCAGCCGTTATATAATCATGTTTAAGATTTTTTCTTTTGTTAATGTTGACAGAAGTATTTTATTATTTGTTAGTTGTGATCATATTGTAATGTTACACAATTTGTTGTTTTTGTACCAAAGTGTGAGTATACAATTTTGGTGATGAATAAAAGATATTATGTTAACTTAGAAAACAGAGTTGCTTTTATTCTATGAAAAACCCCATTTTTTTTTATAAAAACCACTAGATAGGTTAATCACACTAATATTATAAAGGCAAAAGTTAATGAGTGTGTGAACGTGTATGTTTGTTACTTCTTCAAGTCTAAACGGCGATTTTAATAAAATTTGATATGGAGTTAGCTGACACCATGGATTAACACATAGGCTACGTTTTACTGCGGGAAAATATCCCTCATAAACCGCAGGGTAACACCACGGGGCACAGATAGTTTTAAAATAAAATTACAAAGGAGTAAATAAGGAATATTTTTGTTAGGTTTTAAAGTCAAACTTTTATTACATCGCCACGATATTTTTCGTTCATCTTTAGCATGTTGCATTACATTTATATAAAAATACTAGTTGACCCGGCGAATGTCGTATCGCAATATTATACAATAACTATCTGTCCCAGCGAACTTCGTACCACCATAAAAAATAGGGGTTGATTGTAAAGGGTTGAAAATTCAGGGTTATATGTATTTACTAATGCTGTATCATAAAAAAAATAAGAAATAAAATTTATCTAAAATTGAAAAAAAAATATTTAGGGGTGGATTGCCCTTAAAATTTAGGGGGATGAAAAATAGATGTTGTCCGATTCTCAGATCTACCCAATATGCACACATTTTTTTTTTAATTTTTTTATGATACATCATACAAAAATACATACATCCCTAAATTTTCAACTTTCTACCACCAACCCCTATTTTTTTATGGCGGTACGAAGTTCGCTGGGTCAGCTAGTATTAGATATATATCTATAAATATATATATACCTTATCAACCAAGTATCGGTGGTTCAGTAGTAGAAAGCTCGCCTGTCACGCCGGCGGCTCGAGTTAGGTTCTTTTTTATTTTCCACTTCTTATGATGCAATCACAACACCTTCGATTTTTTCCGAAGCATGAACAACTAGTATCTTACAAGTATAAATCATTTATTCAGTTCACATATTTTGTTTATCCAACAAGTTTGTTCCAAGTATTGTATACTACATGTTGTATAACATGTATTTAAGTTTGAACAAAAAATTAGGACATTATGTAAAATTTGTTATATATACATGTATTATACCTTGGTGTAAACGAGGGGTTAATAATAGGAAAAGGAATAGCTTCACGAAAGTAGATACTAATAAACAATACCTATTACATGAAAGCCGCAATAATAGTAAGTTAGTACTTTATTAAGCAAAGTCCTCTGCCTCGTATATCTGTAGGTAAGTTTATATCTACCTGTACTGAACGTATTTTTATGCGGTTTCACTATATCAAACAGCTTACTAATTTAACAAGGTCTTTATTAAATATAGGTATACACCTCGGCAAACTTCTTGAACAACGACCATAAACAAGGAAGCCTGCGCAGTGGCAATTTTACATGCAAAAACGCCTAATCGCCTAACACAGGCACAGACCTCATTCCATCCATAGGGTGAATAGGAAGATTGGGCTATGACCCACCACGCGGGCCCAGTGCGGATTGGCGGGTGCTAACGACTGCAGATGCCGCCGGGACCAACGGCTTAACGTGCCTTCCGAAGCACGGACGAACTCGAGATAGAAGATTTCTGGTCACCCATCCAATGACCGACCACTGCGAAAGTTGCTTAACTTTAAAGATCGCAGCTGAACGCGCTAACCACCTGCGCCATCGATGTTCTGTATACAGTAGAACCCGTTTAATACGATCACGCTTAATACGCCATTTTGCGTCGGTTTTCATACATTTCTTAACGCGATTCGACATCCCGTTTAATACGCCTAAATCGACAAAACACGTACCACACATATTACCTCTCGCGGCAGCGGCCAGCGATTGACGTGACGACTGTCGAGCGATGCACGCTAAGCGACCCCCAGAGTTTTCCTGGATATTCTTCCATTGATGACAATGTGGCACCGTACAAAATTTAATCAATTCAAGATTTTATCGAGAATGTGAATAACACACAAGGCCCGTAAGTGATAATGATCAAGAAGAAGATGAATCAACTCCGATTTTGTCACATGCCCAGGCATTATCAGTAGTTAATAATTTAAGACGCTATGTATATTCTTTGAATCAAAGCGAAGAAGCAAAGCAAAAGTTAATTTATGTGAAAATTTTGTAATTGCTAATGCCCCAAAATCTTTTTGTCAAACTAAAATAGATGATTAATTTTTAATTAATTTAATACAAACGTAATAATAATACACTATTTTTTGTAACGTATATAAATCTTAAATATTGTACCTATATTTAATATCTCAATACCGACATTCAAAATTTCCCTATACCGCAATCCCGCTTAATACACTTTCCCGCATAAAACGCGGTTTTGGTTGAGTCCTTGTAAAATCGTCTTAAACGGGTTTTACTGTATATATATAGGCAACCGTTAATGACTGACTGATTTATCAACGCACAGAACAAACCACTGAACAGATTACGCTGAAAATTGGATCACACATAGCTATATACAGGTTCGAATCCCGGTGGGGGCAGATGTTTGTGTGATGAATACGAGCATTTGTACTTCAGTCATGGATGTTTAATATCTATTTCTATATAAATATACTTATATATGTACAGTATATGTATTCTATCCGTTACCCTAGCATCCCATAACACAAGCCTTATAGTGCTTACTTTGGGGCTAGGCTAATTGGTGTGAGTGTTGGAAATATTTATTTATTTATTTATTATGATGACGACCTCCGTGACCGTGGTTTGAACGCCAGGTTTCAAAGTGTCGCCACTCGAGTGGTCCCGGGTTCGAATCCCGGTGGGGGCAGATGTTTGTGTGATAAATACGAGCATTTGTACTCCAGTCATGGATGTTTAATATTTATTTCTATAAAAATATACTTAAATATGTATTAGTATATGTTTTCTATTCGTTACCCTAGTATCCCATAACACAGCCTTGCTTTGGGGCTAGGCTAATTGGTGTGAGTGGTGGGAACATTTTTTATTTATTTACGATACAAGCGTGTGCTAATAAAGGATTTTTCAAAAGTCATCCCTAACAAGGATCAAAGTTTGTATGGGAAACCAATAGTTTCCACGCAGACGATGTCACGGGCACCCACTAGTTAATATTATAAAATTTTAGCGTTTCTTACACATACGGATAAACCCGGATTTCATATTTACCTTCTTACGAAGGTACAAAGGCCGAGCTTTACAATTTAATTAAATAGCAAATCTCTAGTTTGTACGTAATTAACGTGGCGAGCGAATTGCGGTTAATTTACTATTTCAAAGCAAATTAAATGTCGTTTATAATATTAGGCGATGCGTGTATGTGGGGCTAATCAAAGCACATTTCCAGTTAAGGTCCCATTTATGAGACTAATTTATACAAACAATCTTTATCATACCTTTGCCAACTAATGAAATTATCAGACCAATAACTGACTTTACTTAAATCAGCTATTTACTCGTACATTAGAGCAAAATTCCTTGAAATACTTACTGTTATCCTAAAGTATTCTTATGTTAGGTATTCTTACTTGTCGAGCGCTTTTCGAAATAAACGCTATGCACTTTCTCTCTTAGGACTTGAGAAATATAGTTTTAACTTTAGTTTTTTTAAATAAAATATTTTTAACAAAACCTAATTCCTAACCGACGACGTCCAACATTTATTAAAAGAATGTTTAAGGAATCCGGACCTAAGAGACAAATTAGACTTCATTGATTTTCAAATTCGCAGCAAAAAGTTTAATAACAAAAACTATGTGATTAACAATATCTTACAGTCACAATGGCATTGTCATGTATAAATGTAATACAAAAGTCCTGTAAAATAAAGAAAAAAATGTACCATCAGCGAGTTTGTTCAAGAAGATGTTGATCACCTCACCCCACCATTATCACCTAGGGGTATAAAAGAAGCCTAAGACCTATTCTCTGACCTCCCAAATATACACAAGAAAATTCGATATATCGTGGAATTCCATAAAAAAACACTGTTACACGAGATTTTTATATCGTAGATTGAAGAGAGTGTAATTAACTATGTAGTAGCTAATTGCAATTACTGTTAGTACGTACCTTCCAACAAGTAAATATTTATTATTTTCTTTAATTAACTGGATCAAGATTAAGTCAGCTTTGAGACTTTTAACTGATGAAATGTAAGTAAGTAGGTAGGTAGTTAGTTCAGTGGGAAAGTTCCAACCGGTTGGATTTATTAAATTGAAAAGAAAACTCCACCCTGAAAAGAAATAAGGGGAAGAATTTAACGAAGTTTTAGTCGTTTCGCTTTAACAAGCATCTTTCAATAATAATAAAAAAGTAATTGAGTTACGGTCAGAGTAGGTAACTACCTTAAAACTTTGACTAGCTTTGATTAAGCAATCACTTTAACTTTGGTAATTAACGAATGCCAATATTTCGTCGTTTATATGCTATAGCTATGTGATTGAAAGTTAAATTAATGTTTATTACCTAGAAAAAGTAATCTACATAATTACTTATATACTAATGAACAAGATTACATTTAATAACGTATCAAAGTCAGTGACTTTTTAAAGTTAATTTTTGGCTAAAAGTGGCACAAAGATTTGCTTTTATATCAATAAGAACTATAGTCCAAGTATCCAATACAATAAGAATGACCGTCAGAAAGCAATAAGTTCTCAACAAGATTAATTTTATCGCAAACCGGAAGGTATTAAACGTAAATAACATTGCTGGTACGGGTTGTACTGTAACACGGTATCCACATACGCGTCTTCGCTCGCTTGCCCCTAACCATGTAAAGGTTGTTAATACCGTCACTAACTTCGACAGGGATGGAATATAGTTTTACTAAAAAAATATTTTTTAATATGGTGCAGACTCCATTCCTTAGGTATCCTATCCGCTTATTGTCAAATTGTTGCTTCTTATTATTAGTACTTTCAATAAAAATACTGATAAGTTTTAAGTTTTGTAATGTTACACTTCACACGGTCATCTGACCGAAAACAAGTTAT